TTTGAATGCATTGATTCTAAGACAGACATTTACAACGTTCATGTACCTTTTGAATGCATTGATTCTAAGACAGACATTTACAACGTTCAGTAATCGGTGTCTGTTTAATGCTGTATATCAAAAACACATCGTAGCTTGTCCGACGTAGTATACGTAGCAGTAAATATAGGGAGGTATACTGGACTTTAGACCACTCATGCGCATAAGAATTACGATTTGGACTGTAAATCATTCTCGTCCACAGAGTCATCATTCGTTACTGCGCATGCTCGACAATTTTCTTTTGAATTTTTTTCTTAATCGAATCCAGAAACAATTTCCGTTGCAGGACTAATTCAGGATACGGCTAAAGTCTTCGTCAATTTCCAAGACTTGCTCTTGAAAAGTTCGTTGACCAAGAACATTTGATCAACCGATTATAAGAGGAAACCAAAATTTTCGTATCCCAACTGCGGTTGCATCCTATTCTACCCGTGTCTGTCCTTCCGTGTTTCTTTAAACGTTTCAAGCTAGCACCGCCTTGAGGCATCATTATGTTTCCCTGCTCGGCCTTTTTCATTCTTCGTTTACCGCCCTTTCTTTCTTTCCGAACAACATCACCGCGGGTCGGAACGTCATGATTTAATGATTTATACGGCGCCTTTTTCTACATACAGTATATGCTCAAAGGCGCTTACAATTATGACAGATGGTTAGTATAAGATGTGGGTAGAGAGGGTTGGCACTACAAAGGTTTCTTTACGTCCTCATTGTTTCCTTTACGTCCCTTCGACATTGGTTAGTGATGGTGGAGTAAGTGTGCAGAGACGGGTTTCCTATCCTAAGTGGTAAGAACCACTTGAAAGTCTAACCATTTTTTTAATGTAATTAAAGCTAGGACTGTCTACTCAGTTATTTTAAAACCCTGAGTTTTGGTCTGGCCCGGACTCGAACCACAACCTCCAGCACAGCAGACCGACGCTCTCGCTTCCAATTGAACTAAGCGGGTGGCGGTTAGATATGCTCTCATACGCGTGTCGCACGAGCAAACCCGAATTGCAAGTATGAAATAAAATAAATAAATTAACTTTGTTTATAGAGGATAACACTTGACAGTAATTCAACTGATAAACTTGTGGTCCTCTGTTAACGTTTAATAAGGGACGGGATCACCATTAACGTGATCATCCGAGCCACGTGAAGGTCTAACCATTTGCAGATGTAATTACAAAGGCAGCACCTTCTCCTCAGTTATTTTAAGACCCTGAGTGTTGGTCCGGCCGAGGCTTGAACAACGACCTCCCTCACAACAGACCGACGCTCTTACCAACTGAGCTAACCGGGTGGCGGTTATAACATAAATGAAAGCCAAAAATTATCTCGAATAAAGGTTATCCTTCGAAAGCATAGTTGGCAATTGCGGCAACCAGCTCTGTCGTGAAGATAAATTAAGAAAATTCTAGACATCTTTTCGAAGTACGCGGTTGGCCTGTTTGAAAGAGCGCTTTGATAAATAACTTAAAACCGAATCCTGTCGCATGCCTTCACCAAAAGGGGTTTTAAGTCGCAGGCAAATTGACTAAGAAACATCAAGCAGCCGTCAGTCGCTTCTCTTTGACCAGCGGAGCCTTCAAAGGCCGCACGCGCATTATAGTTACCGTTAAACCAATTACCGACCAGTATCGTTTAACTTTGTTTCCCGCGCTAAATGCTTTTCAAACTCAATCACTCTGAGCGCGGTATTAATCGCTTTCTATTGTATCAATTAATCAGCTCAAATCACCGCTCTTCAAACACCTGCGCCCTCAGCGCAACAGACCACCAACCTTCTGTCATTCCGACATGCGCGGTAGCGGCTTTCTCTTTGATCTGTAGGCTGTTGGTATAAATGGCTGCGGGATCTGAACCCAACTCATTCAGTTCCTCTGCTGACCTGTCAACATTACACTGTGCCAGTACAGCGCAGAGTAGCCAAGTCAAATCGTATAAATGTATCAAGCTATTGAAGTTGATGTCTCGTCCAAAACCAAACCTCTCAACAAGAAAGCTTCCTTCATGGTAGAAGATCTTCTACGAAGTACGCATACCTCCAGTACTGATACCAACGACTGCTCACCATCGCAGCAACTCAACACTGAAAGACACTGCAAGACATCGTCAGGTCGTAGCTGGACAAAAGAAGATTCCAGGTCAACAGAAACATCACCAAACTACTGCACATCAACAAGAGGTGGGTTATTTATCATCACCAAGGAAAACTACCATTGATGGGGAGATGGCTTTACAATTGATTGACTTGAATATTCATAGCTCATCAAACTCTCTTTCTTTTTACAGACGAGTCCACACACTGCCATCAAGACGATTCCTCTCCAGTGTCTTCTACCTCCAATACAGCAGCAGCCCTTTCAAATGATCAACAGCACCACCTTGAGAAAGTCTTCAGACTTCAACGATACCTTGGAACCAAAGAACGTCAACGCCTCGCCGCTACAATACGAGCAACCGACCAACAAGTCAAGATGTGGTTCCAGAACAAACGAGTGACGCTCAAACTCCAGATAGACAAAGCACAACACAGACAAGCCAAGCTAGCCTACCTGAACAGCCTTGCACAAAGTCTTCTTAACACTACACAACAACCAAGCTTGCCCCAAACAGTTGTCAAGCCATCGGTCCGCAAGTGTTTCAGTCTCTCCTCGCGACATATACCATACAGGAACTACGATGATCAGCTGTCAAGCCGGTACTCAAGACCTCAACGAGTAACACCGTACAGTTGGAATCAGAACAGATACAGACTTGATTGGGTACCTAATGTTGTTCACTATCATCCACAAGTAGTGCCTTACTTGTCTTGATCAATTGGATTCGTATTGACAAAATGTACTGTTGATCAAACCTTCAAATAAACAATCAGTATTGCTTATTGAAACTTGTAAATATGGTATAATATATTTTATAAATTTGATTTATATGTAAATAAAAACTACTTTAATAATATCTTAATATGTTGTTGTTTTACTTTACTGCCTTCTTAAATATAGTCAAAATGTTTCTTGAAAATATTAAGCCTATTTTTAACGAGTTTATCTCTTGTTTATATTCATCGTCATTTAAAGTGGCCTTTTTTCGCTGATTCTACGAAGTCTAGTCTTTTGCTGTCAGTTCTAACCGGTATTTAATATTTTGAGTACAAACTGAATCGTATACGATTCCATTGAAAACCCGCTGGCCAAAGGAAACACCTGCTCGGCTCATAAGTGATCGACGCGCACGCAGTGACAAAACCGGGAAAAAATTGGGTATAATACATTTTATAAATTTGTTGAATTGTATATTAGTAAATTCTGGTTTAACAGTATCTCAATATGTTTTTGTTTTACTCTTACTGCCTTCTTAATTATAGGCAATGAATGAATTTTTTTTGAAAATCAGTAATTATATTTTCATTCATAGTGATTCCAAACTCCACAAATATGAAAGTTTGATTAATATTTATAGTGCGACTACACCGCCGAAGGCCTCCCAGACAAATTCTCACACAAATCAGGATTGAATATTTTCAAAAACAAAAATCAAAGCATCCTCTTATTAAGGCTTACAATGTGGTTTGAGAATTTAATCTGAAACTCGTTTGTGTGGTTTTGGTGTTAATATAGTCGCACTGTAACAGATGGCTATGTTAATATGTTAATATTGTTCAACCTGCTATTGCTTTTGCCACGGGATTCGTTTTTTAAGATATAATTTCTCAAATATTTTAAAATTTTAAGAGAGTACGCGAACTAATTGATATCTAACCATCAAATTGAAATCCAATTCTCTACTCGGAAGTATTGGGTTGACTTTTTCACAGGGGGCCCACATCCAACGRTGGAAACAGTGCTGATATAATAAATCTTACCACAATTGTGAATTTTCTCGCTTTCTGATTGGTCTAGAGCTGGGGGAAATAGAATATCATAAATTACATTAATTGCCCTATTTTACTATGACGTCACATCAAAACAATCTATTGTTTAAACGCAAAGTATCATGGTCGTCGGAGGGGGTCAAATCAACGCAAATTCACCGAAAATTGTTCTAAAACAGTTGGGGCTCACAACCCAAGGTGGAAACAGTCTTTTTCCATTTCATTGGTCATTCTAATTTCTAGTATAAATTCATTAGAACTAGGTTTTTGTAGTCAGTCCAAGTCAAGTTTGCACCAGTTCGCTTTGTAAGTATTTTTCTCGTTCTGTTCGCCTGTTCCTGAGTTCTTGATTTACTTTAGTTATTCTCTATATTTAACTTATATATTTATTTGTTGTAGAAACCGTATTTTGAGGTATTAAAACTCCTGGTCACGACCCAATGCGCTAAGTTTATGGTTGCGCACACAAGTACGATCAGGATCAGGAAATCATTAATTGGAGGAGTTATGTGATTTGAGAGGAAAAAGAGTGTTGTAATTCAAACATAAATATGTATTTGGAAATATGTATTTGAGATAAACATAATTATAATCCAAAAAGAAATATGTATTTTAAACTGAGTTTGTACTGTTCTGTGTTTTCCTCTTTTATATTGCTTTTATATTTTTAATTTTGTTTCTAAGAGTTCACTTACTATTATACTTTTATCATTATTCATAAGGTTTCAGTGTTCCGTTAAATATTATCATTATATTGACCTTTAAAGATGTTCAAGCAGCTGTTGTTTGTTCATCTTTGTGACAAAGTCATAAACATTCACACTTTCATTGTGAATCATGACATCTTTCATGGTGTTTTTACTAGTGAAGCTTCTTCTCCTTTGTGAGTTGCATCGAGTTAGTGGTCAGAATTCTACTGTCATACGTAAGTCAATTGTAAATATTCTTAGCTTTTTAAACTTAATTTTCAAGAGAAAAAGTAAAAAGGGTATGTTAAAGATAGTGGCACCTGAGATAATGGAGTGCTTGTACTTACTCCTTCAAACAAACAAATCTTTGTTTGCACTAAATATAACGAAAGAGTGAAAAAAGTCCTTCTGTTTTCTATCGTTTAATTTGTAGTGCATTTGATTAGGAACAAGTGCTATTAGTTGTACTGGTATTGCTTTGTGGAAATAGCCGATATCGGTAGACGGTTAGGTCTCCAGAGAAGGATGCCAAGCAAAATATTATTACTAAGCATTTTTCTGGAGTTAGCCTAAAAGCTTTCAAAATGGATGGCCGACGGATCATTATATTAGTAATACAGTCTGTCTGTCCGTCTGTCTTCCTTCCTTCCTTCCTTCCTTCCTTCCTTCCTTCCTTCCTTCTTTCTTTCTTTCTTTCTTTCTTTCATGTCATTTGCATAAACTTTAACTTGGATTTTCTTGGCCAGATTCACTTTTATCTTGAAAATTTTAGTGAAACACAAAGGAACTAACCTAGACGTTTGTTAAGTAATATATACAATATTCGTGTCCGTGTCGTATACGATATAAAACTCTCTGCTGCGGCATCAAACTATTGCATATTCATAGTTCGATGTCTACTCAATTTTGCCAAATTCATTTGAAAATTCCACGCTACTAATGTAAAAGTTTGTTTCTTGTCTGATTGTCCTTGATGCAATACAATCACCAGGTGTTGTTGATCTTCAAAAGAAAAATGCATCCGCTGTGAAAAAGACAAGATAATAATTTCCGTTTAAGAAATTAAAACGACAGAAAGAGGAGCTAAAAAACTAAACAACCCAAACGGGTGCTGATTTACATGAATGATCGCAGTAATTAGGAAAAGCTTTGTGCATAATCAGTATAATAAACCACACATACCGAAAACGAGTCGCTTTTTTCTTAAGAAAATAAGAACCTGTTTTAGAACCTCATTAGCCAATTCTTGCAGTAAACCGGAACCATACCTTTTTAGGCTAACTTGGAAAAATCTAGGTTTTATACGTGGGATCTTACTGTTAATGTATTTTATCGTAACTGGCTCATACAATATCTCAAAATTAAATTCATATTTCATAAAAATTTTATCATTCGAAACCTTAAAAGTGCGCTTAAATAAGTTTCTTAAGTACTTAAAAATAGATATCATAAATGTTCTTTTTTTAGGGTGTCCTTCCATAGCAACGTCACATGGTTACATCAATAGCGCAGCGCACTGATTCTAAAAATAGCTTAAAGATTCGGACAAACGTTGCATTCTGTTTAACCGCTACGAGGATTATACGAACCGATTTTATTATTTTTACTTAAAGTCACAATAATAACCCATGTAAACTAAGATCAACTGCTATCGGCTGTGAAAATTATCCGCTGAAAGTAAACTTATAAGTTTGTTTGTCCGAATTTCGCCTTTGTCTTCGTTTTTATGACGTCACGACTGCGCTGCGCTATTGTTCCAGCAATCCATGTCACGTGACCTGTCACAACGGCTATTTTCTTTTTGGTCCAAAAACGATAAAACGCATCGACGGGTTTCCTGTGAATTTAAAGCAACCTAAATGTAACCATCGATAGAAATCTGAACTAATTTATGCTTTTTATATTATTTCTTCATGTTTGTTTGTTGATCCTACTAAAGAAACGGTTAATCTACATTAACGTGGTAACAGAAATTCAAAACTAGAAGTACCAATCATACTCCTCCAAATTATGCGCCCTGCGCTGATTGGCCATTGTGAATACAGCCGGCAAAAGTAATGAACAAGACGGTCAAAAGATAGCAATGGCGCTGTATAGTAAAATCTTCGTTAAGAAAATTATTTCTGGATAAAAAATTGCTTTGATGTGTGTGAAAAAAAAAAAACTATTCTAAAATTACGTTGTTTAAACTAAAAAAATCATAATTTGGAATTTGAAGTCCAACTTGACATAGGTAATCGACAAATTTTTCGATCAAAAATCAACAATCAAACTTGGATTTTGATCGGGATTTCGTTCCAAATTGAACTATACCTACGGACCACGGATCAAAATACGTACTAAAGGCGGCTTGATTAACTCAAAAATGAAATAAAGATGAGTTTACATAAAATATTTTACTATTTCATCAAGTTAAAGAGTTATTCCACTAGGCCCTAGAGTAATAAAAGTACAATGTCATGATTGAACATAACCGTGAATTGATCTTGTGAAGAAGTAACTCAAGTTTTTCGTTGATTTTTTTAAACAGCTTTCTCTCATCTGTTCTTGAAGTATTTCCATATTTAATTTAACGATAATTATTGCATTGTCAGTTTTCACTGACCGCAGCTTTCCAGCCGTGAAGGCGAGATATGGGCCTTTCGAACATGGATTTCTACCATTTTGAACTGTTTCTGCTGATTCTTTCCCTGTCGGTTTAGGAAGCATGGGTGGCGTAACGATGTCAGCGCTCGCCTCGCATCAATGCGACCCGAGTTCGAGTCCCGCCAGGCTCGGTGTTGTATATGAGTAGAGTTGTTTGTTGGTTCTCTCCTGTGCTTCGAGGGTTTTACGGGTTCTCCGGTTTTCCTCCCTCCGCAAAAATCAACTCCTAAATTCCAATTTGATCACGGAATGAGGGCCACTGGTTTGTTAGCCACTGGCTATTAAGTGCTACCCTCGTGGAAAAAAAAAAAAAAAAAAAAGGACGGAAGTGGTAACTTTATTCTACACCGTAAATTGTGTCCCATGAGTGCTTACCCTGGAAATTTTTCGGTCTTTGTCTCAGGTGTTATTCTGTATTGTGAATAGCAACTTCTGAAGTCTAGTCTCTAGGCACTTTCTTGAGCACTTTATGGTCTGCATGGCTCTTTCAGCTAGTAGGGCATTTGTTGGGGATTTGTTGCCGGGTGATAAGGTGCAGATATGACATGCAATATTCCATGCTGACTCAAGAACTCCTCTATCTTGACTTGTGAAGTTAGACCCGTTATCAGAGACGACCACCTCTGGTAGCCCATGAGTTGCAAACATTGCTCGATATGGTTGCGAGCTGATGTAGTAGAATTCATAATTTCTGCATTGTTCCATTTGGAACGAGCATCTACAACTGTCGAAGTCTCTTGGGTTCGTTTAGATGTATTTTATTCTGGAATCATGTTGTACACATCGTCGTGCTCGCTTCGAGCCGTGGCTTGCCTAGAAACTAATTTACATCATACCGATGTCCATATATGGGGTGCTATGACAACAACAATTAAGAACATCTTGCCCATAAACGGACCTGGATAATCAGCCTTCTCTAACAAAAAAAAAATTAGATTGAAAGATTTGATGGTCCCCAAGCTCTTTTAAATATATCACGATTCCACTTCTAAGGGTTCTGTCAGGGAAAGTTGCATTACCTTGTTCAATGCCATAAGATTTCAGGGTCAAATAGTCATTATAGGACACTTTCTTGAAGCTCTAACCATTTAAAAATTTGATATTTCATATTTGCATAAATATTTGTATTTGCTACAAAAGCGGCACCTAATTATACTTATCATATGACCCGTATCTGCCCAGACGCGCGCTCTAAAAAAACCTTCGGGAAAATGGCGTGAGCAGGAATCCGTACGGCCCTGCTCGAAACGTGCTGCCATATTTATTTTATTATTTTTCTTTTCGTGATTGTCATATGATAAAATGTTTATTGACTGAGTTAGGTCGTGCCGTACGGGAAAATATTTGGCTCTCAGTTATTTGCACGGACCTCGCTGCGCTTGGCCCGTAAGGCATCACCTCGAGCCAAATAATTTTTCCGGCCGCCCACTCAGTCCATAAGTACATATTATGGTACTCGGGCTTCTGAATGCTGGCTAGTTTAGCCCGAAAAAGTCCTTCCATTGTTCTGACTATCCTTTTGTTTTAGTGTCATTTAGAATTAGAAGATTCTCGGAGAAAGCATCATCAGGTCGTGTTGAAGTTTATATTAACGGATTGTGGAGTGCAGTATCATACAAAGGCTGGACCATTGAAGCAGGGAATGTAGTCTGCAGAATGTTGGGGTTTCCTAACGCAACGTCTATATTTGAGTCTTCCATCATGGGTCGCCTGGGACTAGAATGGGTGCAGGTGAAACACTGCTTTGGTAACGAGTCTTCATTGTACGATTGCAGTCTAAATATTCTGGAATACCCCGTATTGACTCAATACAATGGCGAAGCGGGGGTCATATGTGGTCAGCCAAATGGTAAAATTAAACTTAAAAACTTTTTTAAACCATCACTGTCCGATGATCTCTCCACACGCACTACTATTATATTCAACACACAACACACAACACTCGACATATTCATTTTTACGGAGGAAATGAAACCTGAAAACCCCAGAAAGCTCCTTGTTCAAGGGAGGGAATAAAAATCGAACAAAATCTCAAGCCACACACGAATTAGTCAAGAATTAATCCCGCGAGCCCGGCCAGGTATAAACAACACAGAGGTAAAGACAGGACCGGTAGCAGCGCATGAAACCCGTAATATGTTCAGAGATAATTTAGTAAGATAAAGAATCCCTGCTTAGTGCGCCCCTTCATGAGTCGTTTTATTGCTATTTTTAGAATCATTGATGCTATTTTTAGAATCACTAATGCTATTTTTAGAATCATTGATGCTATTTTTACATTCATTGTTGCTATTTTTAAAATAATTGATGCTATTTTTACAGTCATTCATTTGATCATCTGCTTTTCTGCACGCGCTCAACAATCACCTTTATTTTATGTTTTCAACAAAGTGCGAGAAAACAGTGACCAGAAAAACAAAAACAAAAACAACAGCAACAACACAAAAGTTGTAATTATGATACTCTTCAGTGATTTAGTATTGTTTTTTATCGAGTCATAAAAAACTAATGGGTAAAAACACCATTCAATTTCTCAAAAATTTACATAAATTTACTCTTCTAAACATTTGAAACGCAATATACGATATTTGGGTTGGATCCGTATGGGCGCTCTCCCTGCTAAATCCCCATGCAAATCGGCTCTGCTTATATGACTCAATTGCACGTTACGTCATCGCGGCCATGTTGGAGATATTTAACAAAAGATTTTTCATTAGCATCCATTGTCAACTGCAGCGAGATGGGGGTCATGTTTTTGTGTTTTGATTCTCTTGGGGGAATGCTTGCAACACAGCGATTGTATTATCATGTAATATTTGTCATTCATTTGATTTAACTATTTTAGTTATGTTTCAACTTTCTTAATTATCCAGTTTGTTCTTGTACTTGTTATCCTCTTTCTCACTCTCCTTCCTCTTCATGTCTTTTTTTTCCCATAAAAGTTTCAGTGTACTTAACAGGATACACGTCTACGAGGCCACTTAATAACACTCAAGGTAAGACTGTCCACTTTTTTTCTATGTATCTTATTATTACGGATGTATTAATAACGATTCATGATACACCTTACGGCCTTACTATTAAACCATAGTGAATGGAGTGAAATGGTTTGGAAACTTCATAGAACAAAGTTATTGTTTTTCGTTTGATGTTGAACCGTACCATCACGTGATACTGACGGTGCACAATGAACCAAAGCAAGTATGGCTGAAAATGCTCATTTCCTTATTATTTTCATGTACGAACATTTTGAAAGTGAAAACTTTCATTCGATGACCACAAACTATGCGAATAAATATTTCCGAGCAGATACAGTTAAGTTACTAGATGATAAATAAGAAAGCATGAAAAAAGGCAATTTCCTTTTCAATAAACAATTAATATTAATCATATAGGATTAATTAGCAAATAATACATATTTTAGAACGATTTTTTAGGGTTAAAAACTTTTATATTCCCCAATACTGTGAACAAATGGAGAAACTTTTCCTTCACTGTGCACTGTCAACGTCATATAACAATGGATAAAGACGAACAAAAACATAGAACAATAGGTTTCCTAACCATTCCTCTCCATTAACTATGATTAAACAAACTTGATACTACAAGTTGTGGGAAATCAGGCTTTCCCTGTTGTGAAAATTTATTTCTGTTGTATGATGGAAGCCGGTGATGTATCACTGACGACCCTTCCTGTATTAAAGCATCGCTTCTCGGTATTTATTCCTTCCTTGTAAAACACTAACCCTTGTCCATCCTATCGCTCCAATAACAATAGGAATAGCAATGATAGGTGAGGTGGTGCTGGGAATCGAAGGCATTCCAGCAGGAATTGGTTCAACATTCTGGAATGACAGTGCCGCTAAGGTGGTGTGTCGTATGTTAAATATGGCTGGACCCTATGTAGCGCCAAGAATCGACAGCTCATCACATGTATCCACACCGATTTGGATGGACAAAGTTAAATGTTCTGGAAATGAAAGAACTCTATTGGACTGTAATCACCCGGGATTAACAAATAAACGTCTGACGGTGTCAGCATCGTCGAAAAGGGCAGTAGTTGGCTGTGGAAAACAAGAAAGTAAGAAAAACGAGTACTTGATTAACGGTTACAGCATAAACCTTCTCTTATAAAACAAAAACGTTTGAACATAGAAATGAACTTATACACCCTCAGATCGGAGTTCACTTCGACTTCCAATATCTTATTTCTAGGCTCTGGTGCGGGATACGAGCCTTCGTTATCATGAGCTTAGCGGCAAGGCGCATGCGCTCGGTACTGACTAATAAACCGGAACATAAACCAAGTTATTGGATTTTGTGTTGTCTTTATGTGGCACATAGTTGAATGCTTCGTTTATTTAATTTTCCGATTGTTGGTTTGCTTGCTTAATGGCTTGTTTCGGTCTGTGCTAAGTATATAAGCAAGAAATAATACTCAAAGGAATGACGCGTGTGCAATGGGAAAGCACTATAAAAGGACATGCATGGGTCATTCTCTACGATTAAACAAAAATTAAAATTCGATGAAAAAAACCCCAAAACAGTATTTTATGATGAACAATTTGTTATTTGTTCTTGGTTTTGCTTTAACTTTATCCAAAAAGGTCCTTAAAGGCCGGGCAATAGAAAATAATATCCGTATTCTTTGACGTTCCAGTTTCTCTAAAGATAACAGGAGGGCGTAATGAACAAGAAGGAAATGTAGAGGCTTATATGAATGGGGTGATGGTATTCCTGGTCCTAAACAACGACAATGAACAGAACGTTGCCAAGGTGATCTGCCGTACTCTTGGACTCCCTCCACCAATCATGATCGTTCGAAATACCAAGACGTTATACCTCCAAAGCTATGGTGGCTTAAAAGGCTTTATTGCAGTCTTTTTGCTTTGCACCGGAAATGAGCGCCATATTTCAGAATGCAATACTAGTATTACTGCCGTATTTCCAAGTGTTACAGATCTTCATGGCGTTTCGTGTAGAAAAGGTATGAATTATATTTAGATTCGTACTTGTATGTCGAAAGTATATAGCATTCAGGAGGAAGGGGCGTCTCTATTGTTCTCAGCCTTGCATTTCAGAACAGTGTTGTTTCCATTCGTGACGGCGCATAGCAACCGATGGATTGCTTTGGGATTTTTGTTCTCGTTGATATGAGTAAACCACCATAGCAGTTGGAAAATGAATCAAAAGAAAGGCTAAGTTACAGTTTGAAACGCCTTTAAAAGCTAAATCCCTTTATGTTGCAGTTTATGTCTTGTGCAATTTTCATCTGTCTATTTGGTGATATTTGTCTTTATTTAAGACGTTCTTCCGTCTTTCTTGTTTTGGGTCGGAAATTTTACGGGGCTAGAGTAAGGCGAAATTTAAGCTGAGTCCGGTGGTTACTAAAAATAGCCCAACCGGGAATTTACATGGCTCGCGTTATTAAGAAATTTTCCTCTCTTATTTATGCTCTGTTGTTTTCATGCAATTTGAGACACCTCAAGTTAAGCAGAATCGAATAAGACTACACAATTTACCTAGAATGAATTATGCCTATTTTTCCATAGCCCTAATAAATGTCTTATAACAAGAAGGTTGGATTGTTATTTCTATTTTTACTGTATGTTGCTTTGAAATCACATATTGATGGCCCATTTATAACAACACATAAAGGCTTTAAAGGTAAAGATATGGACTTTCAGATGACAGATTTCCTTGAAAAATGGCATGGGTAGTGCTTGGTGTCGTCTTTATTGAATCTCCTTAGTTGGGGTTTATTCTTGATGTTCTTCTTTTTCTATTTCGACATTGAAACTCGAAAACTTTACAGGGCATTCTGCTATCTTTTTAAGTTCAAGCTATTTTTAAAACCATACCCTTGCTCCAAGGTATCCGTAGAATAGCTCGTAAAATATATTCTACGATAACTAGAATTTGTGTTGATTGCACAATCATCAAGTAATCATGAGAGTTTTTCTAATGATGTGTGGAGTTCCAAGGAGAGCAATCTTCTGTACTTCTGTGATAGAGATGTCCCCTTTTAAGTGGTTGACATATTGTTCTAGTCCTTTGTGAATTAACTCCAGTGCCCCAGTGACAATAGGTATGGTTTTTGTTTCCATACCCCACATTTTAAAAAGTTCTATTTCTAGATCTTTATACTTTGAGAGTTTCTCTACTTGTTTTAGGGGCACATTTCGTTCTGCTGGGATTGACTCGTCTATCATGGAACATCGTTTCTCTACTGACTTTGTTCTTCTCTATAATGTCGGGCATATTAGCTCGTGGTAGTTCTGTCCGTATCATGTACTTGTATGTCCAATAGGATTGTTGCTGTGCCATTTTCCAGTACTTTTTCAAGTTCATGCTCATACCATTTTATGCAGACAGTAAATCCATATTGCTTGCACAGTTTCCAGTGAACATATTTCCCAACTTTGTTGTGTCTTTCTATGTATTCCTTCTTTGCAAGAACAGGACATCCAGATCATTGGATCATCCATTCCAATTTCATTCACATTGTTGAATGTTCTCAAATGATTCTAGTCAGCTATAAAAACAGTACTCTGCTTGAAATTATGGGTGATGTGTTAAGGGAAAGGATTGGATAGATCCACAAGAGTACACTATCGCTCAAACTCAGCGATTGTTATTTTTACTCACAGATTATCAGTGCCCAACAGGATGCAGATGCGATTTGGTCTACCTTTACGGGATGGAGTATAAAGTTTGGTGCGTCAACTCAAACCTCACAGAGACAATACACCCTCTTCCTGGACTAACAAGAGTTTTGTGAGTATTAAAGAATTAATTAAAGCTTGGTATAGCAGAAAAAATAAAATCGGGGTAAAAATCTTTTTTTAAATTTGAGATGAAGATAATTTCTGTCATAATAAAAACCATGCAGTGAAATCGAATCGAAATGCACTACATCGTTTTTTTTTTTTTCGCGAGTATACTCTCCTACTTAGGAAAGCTCGGCCATCTTATAGAATAACAAACTCACCGATTCTATTGTCGAGATTGGCGGAAAGTATGGCAGTAAATTGTGTGTCAACTTCGCTAGTCTACATTTGAGATGTCAAAAAACCAATCTTGCTCAAATTTGCTCAGTCTGATTTTTTTCACATAAGTAGAACACTATATAAACATTCCAAAAAATATATAAACTAGGTTTTGGAAAACATTGTAATATAGCCAAAAATGCCCTGCGCCCGCGTTTGCTATATAAAACCTAGCGTAAACACCATAGGCAGTCGCTTATTAAAATGGTTCTTTGAGTACAAAAACCAGCGAATTCTTCGCAATGAAAACTCTTATTATATTTTGGGTATTCTCTAACACCAATAATTTTTTTGTTATTAGAATTGAATACGTTTTTCCCTATTTTGTTTTCACTTTTCAGTTTTATTTTAATCAAGCTCGCTGTGCCTAAGGGATGAGGGCAAAACAGTTGTCATCCGATTTAGGGGGGAGGGGTGGTGTTACCCGATACCCACCACCTCTGGAAGTGAAATCTTAGATTTTGCCCCCAAATATCTCCAAAACTAAAAGCCAAATCACAGAAATGGACTGTCTGTCTGCATGTATGCTAAAAACATATTCGTGTATAGAAATTGCCACTACAGACCCCCAGTATCGAGTATTTGATGAGGTCTCTGAGGGGGGAGGGGGTATGTACCGGTACCCACCACCTTAATTCATAAAATGGGGTCCCTGTTTTGTACCATTGTTTTGACCTCGCCCCTAAAACAATCTGAGCTCCGCTTTTAGGCAGTTCCCAAATGTACATATTATTTTGTGTTGATTTCTCAAAGATCTCTTGTTAACGATGGAGAAACGACAGAGATGGCGGAAAGGCATTTTCTTAGTCTTCCTTATTGTTTGACAAAATTGTGAGTTAACTCTTAAAGTTCATATAACAACTAAGAATTCTAGACATCATCAGCTTTCAAATGATATGCATATGAAGTGAATTGGATAGTCCCTGTGGGAGATATAGTTTGCTATCAATAGACGTCACTTCCGGTAATAGCTCTTTTTTGATGGCTTGTAGAATCCTGGAGGTTGTTTTGATCTCTTGGTTTTCTGGTTTGATGTCGTGAAAATAGTCAAATACAATATTTTGAGGACTTATTTTGAACTTATGTTTTGACTTAGCATCCGCTAGTTGCCCCCAAGTCAACCGCTTGTTTGCCCCCCAGTCAACTCCAAAAAAGTCACGTGATTGATAGTAAGCAATTGACATCTAACCGTATGGTTTTGGGCTTCCTGTGTCAGGGTGGCCGTGAAAAAATGATCTGAAAACGAGAGTAATCTGTGATATCAAGATAGGTATCGGAGCATACGTGTTTAGTACTCCGCTTCTAAGTAAATATATATTAACCATGCCCTCTTATTTTATAAAGGGAAATCAAAGGATATGAAATTCATCGTCTTAAAAGCAGTTATTTTACGAAGCTTAACCAATTACTTGAGTTGTAAGTGTGTAGAGGAGCCAGAACAGTCCCTAAGGCATCTTTTTATTTCAGTAGTCAAGGCAAAATCCGCAACAATAAACAATATTAAACAAACACATTGAATGTTCTACGAGCTCGAGGCACTTGTATTTTCTAGTACCCACATGACAAGTGTAACAAAACGTAGATATTCCATGGTGTGTCACCAGATACGTCGTATAATTATTTTCCCTCATCTGAAAATAACACGTAGATATACTCATAAGGCGCACCGCCTTATAGAAAGAAAAGGTAACATATACAATGAATGGTGTGTATTAAAGGAATGAACGAAAATTCATGAAAGTATGGATACGCCTTTTTTCTATTGTAACTTATATCATTTCATCTGTGAAATTTGGGTAGTCATATTTCTACTTTATTTTTTAGCATAGTTT